TATAAATTTATTTTCTATTAAATAAAGATAAATCAATAATTATCACATTTTAAAATTCAATTAAAATTCTTATATTTTTCTATTAAAAATATTTATTTACTCTTAAAAATTTATTAATAGAAAAGTTACAAAATCATTTTGCTGTTGAAAATTGAATCAAGACAATTCAATAAAGTGGAAGTTAGTTTCTCATTTAATTATAATGTAACATTCTGATCACATGGTCATAATTACTTCAATTTTACTTAAGGGAAAATTTTTGATTAGATCTTAAATTTTCTCTGTAAATGCATACATCTTTCTTTACTAAATTTAAATTATTTGATTCAAAAAATAAAACAATATAAATTCTTGAATTTTACTGCTAGGCAATTGATAATTAAAATTACATTATGTATTTGATGAAATTATAAACTATGCTAAAATAAATAAATAGAAATGTGTTATTGAGTATAATTCCTTAAAGGGTAATTGAAATAAAATTCTAAAAATATCTATTAAATTTGCCAGAATTAAAAGAAACACAATTACAATTAATACTTTACTATCTCCTTTATTTTCTTATCATTTCTTTGGTATAAACAAGATTAAAGAAACTTTTATTTTTTTTTAATTAATAAGATAAGAGGTCTTGATTATGTAAAATGCTGTTTTTCACTATCAATATAAATCACTTGCATAAATCTTTCTTCTTTTTGATAAAATTACTACAGCCACATGATATAGCATAAGATATAAGCAAATTATTTTCTATAATCCTTTAATCACTCATGTTTTAGTAACTAGACTTTTTCTGTAATCTTTACTAAAATTCAAGCAAGTCGATTAAATTTTTAGTAATGAGTCAAATTTTTTTATTGTACATTAAAGATTATCTTCATAAAAACATTTTTTTTCATAAGTTTAACTTATGTAAATGCTTTTTTTAATTAAGTCTAAATAATATATTATCATAAATAATAGACAAAGTTTAAGCAAATATTAAATTTAATAAATAATAAGGACTAACCAAGTTAAAATGAAAATTTTATAAATTAATAAATAATTAATATATGATTTTAGAATGATTGCTTTTTAAAAAAATCATATAATTTATAAATTGCTCAATATTAACTTTTTAATTAAATGACATGAATAGCACTAACTT